CGCCGCCAGCGGAGGCGGCGGAAGGGTCATCTCCGCGGCGTTCCGCCGCTGCACCGCTGCCGCCATCCAGACCGAGGTGGTGATGTAGCGATGCTGGCGGCGGCGGCGGCGGCGGCGACGGCAGCGGCAGCACCCCCTCTGACGGGGGGGCCATGATGACCCACTCATCTCGCGCCTCAGCCTGGCAACGAGGGTAGCGGCAAGCGGGGGAAGGGGGGGGCAGGGGCAGGGGGATGGGGAGGGAGAGAGAGGGAGGGAGGTAGAGGGGGAGTCAGTGCACCAGTTAGGAAAGAGCTTCTCGCACGTAAAGAGTGCTCCCGCCAGAGTGCTCCCGCCCGTACAAATGTCCTGCCGGCCGCCACCCCTTCCCTCTCCCCCCCCTTGCACCACCTACTTCGCACAGCTGCGCACAACTCCAGCAGAGAAAACACAAGGGGCCGGCCCTCCCCCCCGAGCAAGGGGGCGCCCACCCCCCCAACCCCCCGAGCAAGCAGGCGACCCACCGGCGACGCCTCCTTATGCTCGTCCAGCAGCAGGACGCTGCACGTACTGGCGACGGAGCTCCCCGGCGGCGCATGCATAGACGACGACACTGCCGTACCGCCACCGCCACAGCCGCCCCCGATGAAGTGGGTTCCGACGGCTGAGGAGTAGAGCTGGTGTTGGTGGTTGTGGGGGTATTGGGGGTGATGGGGGTGCGGGTGCGGATAAGCGCCATCGCCAGGCAGGCCGCCGACGGCGGCGGCGCCGCGCGGAGGCGCAAGGGGAATGGCGGCGGACGCCGCCGCGAGCACAACCGACAACGGCGATATGAGCCCACCACCATTACCACCACCACCACCACCACTGCCGTCTGGAAGCCATCAGGTGGAGCCAGGGACCAGGGCACGACGAGGTGGGGAGTAAGATGCATGAGGTTAAGGAAGCGAGGGAGGAAGCTGCACGGCGAGGCACGCGATGCGCAGCGGGCAGGTATATATTCGGAAAGCGTGCGATAGGATGGGGGCCCGCGGCGATGGAAGTGCCGTACATGCCGTACACTCGGCAGTACGGCAAGGAGGAAGGGGAGCTAAAAAAACGCATCGGCAGAGCGGGCCATGGGCAAGGCCGGGATCAGGGGCGTACAGCATGCGTACGACAAGGTAGTTACGACAATCTAATATGCATGAACTGATGCAATGCCACCCCAAAAACGTTTAAGGGCTGACGGTGCCTCCGAAACTACCCGAGGAAGAATAAGGATAAGAGATAATTTTGAAGGTGGTACGACGGGAAAACGCGTTGGACCCACCTGCCGTACTACCATTCGCCGCCGCCGCCGCCGCTGCTGCTGTCGGCGCCATGGCTGTCGCCCGCGGCGGCGGCATCCCCGCAGGGCCCTCCTGGCCATGCCACTGCCGTTCCGCTGCGGTTGCCTGAATAGGAGTCACACCGCCAGGCAGTTCGGCGGAGTTTAATAATGCAGTAGCATCATTGGATGTCGTCGTACTAGAAGATGCTAATGCTACTGCCGCCGCCGCTGCTGCTCCAGTGACAATTGCAGTAGTAGAGGACGTCATTGAAGAGGGCGCCGACGCCGACCCGGCGGGTCGGTCGCCCCAGGCGGGTGCTGCCGTGTTGTGGGAGTTTTGGTCTTGTTGAGCCGGGTGGGAGCGACCAAAGGGTGACCCATGGTTCACCGCGCTGTAAACAGAACACGGATGCGACGACGGATGAATCGCGGCGGCGGCTGTGGCGGCCGGGGCGGCTGTGGAGAGAGTGTCTAGGGAGTCCGGTCGTTGCTGTAACCGTGACTGTGCGGTGGGAAGTGGTTGTGGTGGTTGCGGCGGTTGTTTCTGGTTGTCCCGATGCCGTTGTTGAATCTGCTGTCGCAGCTTTAGCGGCGCGAGGGCGATATCCCAGGCCAAGCTCGCCGCCTTGCTACACCGCCGCTTGCTGCCCTGCACCCGTCGGGCCTGATCTGCGGCCTGAACTTGACTGAAGTTAGACAAGGCTCCGAAACCATCCTGGGGTACGGCGGTAACAGCGCCGGCAGCTCCACCGCTGACGGCGGCGGCGGTGCCAGAGCCGTGCAGGTCCGTCACCGCTGCCTCTGCCGCCGCCGCCGGGTGGTTCTGGGAAAGGAGTTGGTCAGCGCGGTTGGCGGCGGCGGCGCCGCCGCTGCCGTCGTCGTCGTCCCCATCCGTCACCAAGCCCGCCGCCAGGGACTGAGACCTCCCCGCCGCCAACATCAGGATGTGGGGAGATAGAGGACCTCCGCTGCCGCCAGCCGCCGCCGTACTGCCAGGTGATGGCGGAAGCAGGACGGAGACCGGCGGCGGCGCCGCCGCCGCCGCCGTCGCAACGGCGGCCACAGGAACACCGCCGCTGGCGCTGTTCTGGGCTTGGGCGCTCAAGATCCGGAAGCTCGTCCACTTCGGCGTCTGATGCCAGCTGAAAGAGGAAGCGGACTTGCGTTGCAGACGGCGGTCCACGCCGCCACCGCCGCCATCTGCCGCCGCCGCCGCCGTCACAGGCGCTGCTGCCGCCTGGAGCTCCGACGCTGACGTCACCCCTGACGTCGCCTCGAAAAGCGGCTTCAGGGGATCTTCGTTCCCGACGGATGCCGTCGTACACGATGTTGTACCCGATGCGGCGGGAGCGGAGCCCTCCGCTGGCCCCGCCTCCGTCGCCGTAGTCAGCGATGAAACATCTGATTGTCGCTGCTGCTGTTGTTGTTGCTGCTGTGGCAACGGCGGCGGCGGATGATGATGGGGCCACGAGCTGCCGTACCCGCTGACGCCGCTGCTCTGAGGATGCGGTAGCAGCGACGCGGGCGCCGGCGGCGACAGCGAGAGCAGCTCTGGGGCACCGCCGTCGCCGCCGCCGCCAGTGGCGGCGGCGGTGACGGCGCCGCCGCCCGTCTCCAACAGGTCTGACGGCGCCATGTAACCAACTTGCTCGTACTGAAACCCATCGTCGCCGTTAAGGCGGTGATAGTCCTCGCTGTCGGCGTCGACGCCGCCGCCGTCAAAGGGCGGAGACGAATGTACGAGCAAGGGCTCCTCCGCGCCGCCAGCGGTGGCGGCGTTACTCCCACCCAGCGCCACAGCGGCCATCGGGGCGGTAAGGCCTGCGTCGGGGTCGGGAGACGCCGCGCGCTCGACGCTGTTCGCACCGGAACCACCGTGAAGTACCGCACCCCCGCCACCACCACCGCCGCCACCGCCGCCGCCACCGCCACCGCCACCGCCGCCGACACCGGCGAACTTTTCCTTCATGCCGCGCGCAATCATCTTTAGCACGCTGATACGACTGCTGGATTGCTGCGGCGGTGGCGGCGGCGGCTGTTGCTGCTGTTGCTGATGCGGCGTGCCGGCTTGCGCCGCCGTACCTGCGCCGGCGCCGCCGGCGCCTTGATAAGCTTGTGCGGCTGCGCCGCCGCCGCCGTGGCCGTTGGACCCGCCGACGGCGGCAGCGGATGCCGACCCCTCCCACGTCAATTCGTCCGCCAGCGCCGCCGCCTCCGCTTCCACCTCCTTCACAGCCACCATGTCACACACCACTCCACGTCAAATAAGAGGACACGCGAGCGGCCCACTTTATAATGTTTAAATTATAACACCAAACAACAGTGTCGTACATCCCGACTTCGCAGTAAGTAAAAACTTCGAAAGCCCTCCACCACGCAGCCCCTGGGCCCCCCATCATCATCACCCCCATCACCACCACCACCACCACCACCACCGCCACCACCACACTGCCGTTTTACTTACCTCCAGATACTCCCGCCTCAGCGTCGCCAGCCGTACGTCCGTAACGCCCTCAAAAGCGGATCCAAACGCGTGGCTGATGAGGCGGTTAGAGTCGTACGTGAGGGGGGCCATGGCCTGCAGCAGATCTAGGGCGTCCAGCACATCCGAGCAGCAGGAGAGCGCGGGAGAGAAGACCTCCAACAAAGCTAGGGCAGTCCTGAAAAAAAGGGGGTTTAGGGGTTTAGGGTTTGTGACACGGCAATGACACGGCATTGAAAGTTGACCGAAATTGCCGTCGTCCGAAGGCCGCTCAGGGTTTTAGACACGTACGGCATAACCCTGTGCTCCCTCCGTACAGTTGACGTACGGATCGAAGAAACTGAACCGCACTGATACACTAGCAGGCAGTATTGAGGTCAGCAAACCAGCTGCTAATGCCCACTAAATTCAAACCAAAAGGCTTTTCCCCTCCCCTCCCCTCCCCTCCCCTCCCCTCCCCTCCCCTCCCCTCCCCTCCCCTCCCC